CAACCTAAAGGATTCTATGATTAAAATACTAGTGAACACCCCTAGATCTCCAGTTTGGATAATTCAAATGTTTGTCTCTTCATGTGGAGAAAAAACACAAAGCAGGGAGAGCTTCCTGTGATACGCTTTTATTTCAGATATCTAGAGAGCTGCACTGTTCCAACATTGAAAAGGAAATGTAAATCTTCTGCAAATACATCATCATCATCTTCAGAAGATGACAAGCAAGTCCAGGAAAGTCAGCAAAGAGGCATGGGAAGGTAACACAAAGTATACTGACAATCATAATAGGGTCACAACTGTTTGGTTTTGTTTGTTTTTTTTTTTTTTATACATGCCACTGTTGTATGTTGCAAAGTTTATGTCCACTTCTGCTGTTAGTATGACAACAATTTAACTGTTCTGGTTGTGTGGTAAATATCTGCTTACCTTCTGTAGATTGCACAATTAAGCATAAGTTACAATATTCAGTCTTAGAATGTAGAATGCATTAGAAGAGCTATTGTTTGTTGTTGCTGAATGAACCCTCTGTTCCTCACTCAGTTTATGCCTTATTTAATATGTGCTGACATTGCACTTGCATATAAATGTTACATTTATATATGACTGTCTTATTTAATAGTGTGTGTAGTTACTGGTTGTTTCTGAACCAGTCAGACTTGATGGATTTGGAGCATAGTTCTTGGAATTAAATTCCATGCAGAAACTTTGTCGTTTACCAGTAGATACTGCTGTGCTTTCAGCAGTTGATTCCCAGACTCCAGTATCTGCTAATCAGGAAGAGATGCTGAAGGAGCAGAAACTTGCAAGCATGGTGGGAGCTCCTCTGACAGACCTCACCCTGTCCAGCAAGGCTCCAAGTGTGGTGTCTGTCACCAGCCAGTGCAGTTACAGCAGCACTATAGTGCACGTTCCACACCCTGAATCAGGTACTGTTCACACTTGTGAAACACAGCTTGACTCACTGATTCTTAAATTTGCAGTGTTTCCAGATGGAAGTATACCGTGGGAAAGTTTTGTCCATTTGAGGCAACATTTTCATGAATATGATGTCTGAATTATAATTTAGGTACTTCTAGAGACCCTGAAGAAAACTTGAGCCTAGAAATTTATTCTAATAAAACTGCGCTCTGCTTAAACTGTTTCTTTTCCCCTTTTAACTTCATCACATGTATCTCAAACACAACAATGTGCTTTTAGCCATTGAGGATTAAAATAAAAATTACTATTGACCAGTATGACTTGATCTTAATGCAGAAATAAGCATAAAAAATAATATTTAACTGCTATTGTACTAAGAAAACAGGGAGAAAGAACTGTCTCTGTAACTTCAAACTGAATTCAAAGTTTTCCAGACCATGCAAAGTAACTTGTTCAGTTGATGTTAGTGTAACTATATTTGAGCATAAAGGGTGTTTTCTCCTCCTACCTCTGCAACCTGTATCTGCCTAGTAGGTCAGACAGGATTGTTTTTTGTGCAACTCTCTGGGAGTTGTGGGAGTTGACACCAGAAAGCATAACCAGAAGAGTAAAGAGTGAGTGATTTATTTTCTCTCTTCAAAGAAGTGACTACAGTGGAGGATACTGCTGTTGGAAGTGAACAAATGGAGGTACCTCCTTTGGATGCTCAGAGTCTCACGATGGAACCTGTGGACTTAAGGCCAGTTGGGCTAACAAAAGAGACATTGTCAGCCCATGCTCAAAAAGAGGAGCAGAACTACGTTGACAAATTTCGCCAGAGAGTCTTGCTCTCCCCATTTAGGACTTACCTCCAGCAGGGGCGCAGAAGTGACAATGGACATTCCTGTGGCCAAGGTAGGCAGCAGCTTTGAGAAGTAAAGAGTTACTAGATAAATTACAAAGACCAACCTAGCAGTGAAGTCTGGTTCTCACTTGTATGATTTATCAGGTGTCTGCAAACAGAATACTTGCTTTAAACTGCCGGGTCTTGGCAACAGCGTTGCCCACACAGGTCTGCTGCATCTTGGATGTTGCTATCTTAGACTTTAAACAAAGCAGAAAATTATTGCAACAGACCCTGCAAATCCCAGATAGTTTATTGCCTCCTCTTAAAGGAATCTAAAAGGTCTGATTGAGATAAGTGAAAATGGCCAATAAGAAAACGGATAACATGAAGGGAAATACTGTAGGTAGGTCAGTAAATCCATTAGTGTAGTGTATGGAGGAATTGCCCAGAGAAAAGTCAGCTCTCCAAATAAGTCAAGTGCAATTATCAGGATGTTTTTATCTTTTTTTTTTTTTTTTTTTCTTAGCCCTAGGTCTGTCATTTCAGTGAATGTGTCTATTTTTTTCCTCCTTAGGAGATTCCCCTTCAAAGCAGATGAACCCAGCTAGTTGTAAAAAAGACAAACATGGAAAATTCAAGCACAAGAAACCTCGGAGACAGTCGTCAGATAACCACTCTTCTAGCAAAAATAGAAGTAGTCTTTCATGTGAGAAGAGAACAATCCAGAAACAGTCATTCTCTGCCTCAGAAGTGTCCTGTCTGAGCTCCTCCAGTATGAATGCCGTTTCTTCTGTGGGATTTCCTGTCTGTTCGGATCCACTATCTAGTTTTCCAGCCTCTTCTGTAGGAGAGGAGCTTGCACTTCACTCTTTGAAACCTGAGTCCACATCATCGTCACAACTATGCTGTGAAGCACAGTCATGCCCAGCACTTTATTCCCCAAACGCAGGCACGTTTATGGCTGTATTTTTTCAGAATTTCCCCGTGTATGCTCAGTTGCCTCACTATGTTTTTCTTCCTACCCCTCAGTATGTTTATCCCCCCTCTTCATTCACTACACTACCTTCAGCTCCCCCTCCTGCTCCCTCACCAATAGTACCACATTCTGTCGATCAGCCCTTTCCAGTCTCTTATGCCACATCCTTGGAAGACCAGCAAGAGGTCCAGCATCACAAGGCCCTACTGCCAAGTAGCTCACGGAGCAGCTCCCCGCTTCAGCTGAATTTGCTTCAAGAGGAGGTGCCAAAACCTATGGAGCTTTCCATTAGTACTGATGTTAAAGCACATGCAGAAACTAGATGTGTAAGTACTGGCAAATTTTTAATGTAGAGGAGGAACTCTCATGGTGTTCAGTCACCAAAACCAAGTGGTGGTGCCGTGTGTTTCAGTGACACCAGATTTTATCTGCTTTTTCCAGTGGGTGTGCTACATAGGCTGCAGGGCACAAAGATGTTTACACTTGTGCCTGTGGGAAATTGTAACAGTAGAGTGTTGGCACTTAGCACATGACAGAAATGTGAGATCTGGTCTCGGCTGCCACAAGCTGCTTTAGCTCAGCATTTTGGCAGCAGCCTTTTCCATTAAACTCTTGGCCAGAATTTTGGGTTTGGGGCTTTTATGCATGTGGAACTTCATTAGTGCTGTGCAGCTCGCATCCTTTTTCACCCGGTCCCACAGTGTCTGTGGAGAACCAAAACAAAGGGAAGATACGCTTCTAATTACTCCCTCTGTCTCCCAGGGATGCAGCTAATGAACGAAGAACAGGGATCCATGTGGGTCGGTTTCCATACATGGGCATAGAAAAGGCCTCTCCAACTTCCGCGGTAAACTCAGAGGCAGGAATCTGAGCTCTGCAGGCAAGGAAAATAATGTTGGCTCCTGAATCCAGATTGGGCTGGAAAGGCTGGATCAGCTGAAACTGCAGGGTAGGGTCCTCAAAGGGGAGTTGATGTACCTGTAGTTGCTGAAGCGATGAGCTTCATATAGTGTGTCAGGGGACGGCTCATTTTCCCTGTAGTGCGCTATTGTTTGGTGTGTATGGCAGCTTCATGCCATCTAACAGGGTATGAAAGGAACTGACTCCTGCTCTCCTGTCAGCAGAAAATACTAGCAATGCAACAGTACAATGTCTTGACCCAGTGGGGAAGGATCTACAGCAGAAATGAATAGAGTCCAGATGCTTGGCGATTTCACCCATGAAGAGTGTTACCTTGAGTTCTAGACTGCCATTCATTTTCAGAGCTAGAAACTCCAAATTTAGTGCATTGACATGAGAAATTAGTAAAATGCGATAAATTCAGTAAATGCATGAACTTCCTTTTTCAAACTTAAATGTAACTTCTGTGGATATATTTGTTTTGATTTTTGTCTCCAGGACAACAATCGAGAAGATAGTGGTAACAGTGCTAGCCATTGTGCTTCTAGTGAATTTACTGACCACTCGCTGTACGAGGACTCCGAGTTGGGTACAGGTTCAGCACCATCAGGTGGTGGATCAGCTTTTTCTGGTTCTTTAGGCTCTGGCTCCAGTGAGACTTCTGGTTGTAGCACAGGTAGGGAAGTTCAAGATTTGGATATTTGATGCTAGATGTCTTGCTAATATATTGGTAATTCATTACAAGATACTGTAACAGAGATGTAAATCCCAGTAAGAGGATCTGTAGTCTTTACTTTTCCCAGGCTTTCAGTGTTTGAAGCCAAGTCTGTTTCAGCCATTTTAGTTGCACACAGGAATCTAAGAAGCTAGTAGTTTATCCTGTAAGTCATTAATTTTACTCATAACTTTTTTCTGCATTATATACTGTTTTATGTCTCATTTGAGTAGAGGTAAATCTGCCTAGTGCAGGACCTCTTGAGACAAGCAGACAATTTGAGCTGATTGGTTTTGAGAAGAATTAATAGAGCTTTGGAGATCTTGAGTAACTCAATAGAATGCACTTGATCTTTGAATTATCAGTAAGCAGTAATCACTTCCTAGAGCAATCATGCAAGAGTACCTGTGTTCATATTGCAGAATGAGCTTGCAGGAGTACACTTACATTCTTCCACTTTTTGTGGTGCATTACTAGGATTTCTTGGGCATCGGCATTCATTTGTTTTTTTAATGCTAATTCTCAGCAGGTAGTGGGAAAAGCAGCACATATTTTGCCAGTAATGATTATTCTGAAGCTTCCAAAGAAGAAAAGAATCATGAAGCAGGAGAAAAAGGGACAGCTCATAAATCCAAACATGAGTCAGCCTGGGTGATGATGGATCACACACCTGAGCAAGTTTTAATGACTTACCAAATGCCAAACAGGTTGGAAAACATCAACAATTTCTGACAGGTTGTTGGGGATTGTACATAGAACTGTAGAATTAAAAACGAGACCATAGAAACAGAGCATGAAGCAATGAAACTCCTAAGAAGGTATATTAAGTTACTGATCGTGTATTTTAAGCCCTGTTACTTGCAAGTTGCTTGCAATTAGCTTATAGTTGGTAATGAGATTCTACATTTAATGAAAACACAAAACAAGAAAAAACAAAACAGCAAATACCCAAAAAGCCACAACAGAAACAAGAAAAAACAAAACAAAAAACAAACAAAACAAAACAAAACAAACAAAAAAACACACTGACAGACCAGTGCTGGAAGAAGCTTTACAAAGCTAATAGAGTATCACGAAGTATAGTTACTTTTCAATGGTTGATGCTGTAGATACTGCTGAAGAGCCTCTCCTGGTGTGATTATAGTCAGTGGCTGCCTTGCTTCATCTGGTACAGCTGTGTTCACAGATGTCTTTTACCTGCAGAATTAAAGAGGAGGTTTTAAAGGAGGATCTGGAGAAGCTGGCAGTCATGCGAAAGCAGCAGCCTTGGTTCACAGATGGGCAAAAGAAAGAGCTTGCAGAGGTGCACGCGTGGATCCGGACCCAGACTGTCCCACTGCAAATCAGTACCCAAGTAAGGAGTTGTGAAAGGAAGCTGCAGCTTATTCATGCCTTGGTTAGCCAGAGGCAGTACCATATCTAACCAATGTGATCTTGCAGCGCTGCTGTCGTCATTGCAGTTACTATTTTGAAGAAGAAGAACTTGGGTATGCTAGCTAGATGAGAAGTGCCAAAGTAGAGGTCTTTCCGTTGTAATTTTTTGCAAGATACACAAATTCCATGTAGGAACCACCTTAGCAAAGTTTCTTCAGCCACGGCTGGATGAATATGCTCATATAAGAGTCTGTATGTAGTGATTTTTTTTTCCCTAGGTATTAGGTCTTCTTTTCTGATAAAGCTGATTGTTGCTATGAGTGAGTAGCATATAACACTCAGACATTATTGAGGATTAGAGCAAGGGTTCAGCAAGCTGAAAAACACTTGCAGTCACAGAGGAGGTTCTAATATAAATTATGATTTTGCAAATGCAACCGGGCTTCTTACAGTAGAAATGCAGGATTTCTATTTTAATACTTTATTTCAATACAGTGCTATTTCTCAACAAGAGAAATCTGATCTGTCAATACTCTTGGGTGTTTCAGCCTTTTTTTTTGGTTCATATTGTTGCTGTTCCATCTGCAGTCCACATCCTTACTGAGCAGCTTGCTTATAAAGCGGAAAGATAAGGAAGGCATTCAAGGAAGCCACGTGCATTTTAATCTCAAAGCTAAAACTATGTTCTACTAACCAAGGAATTTGTTCCTGAGACAAGATAAGTTGGAGGTACAAGTACCTGCTTTGGAAACTAAGATATCTGTATAATTTCTGCTTTTGGAGAGATTTCAGCCCAGTGGTGAGAGGTTTCAAGAGACCGCAACAGATCACAGTATCAGGATTTCACTCTTTGAAATATACTCATAAAAAGAGCAATATAAATTACTGTATTCTTATTCCTTTTTAAAGGGCTGTGTTACATGTGACATCAGGGAAGCAAGTTGTGAGGCTGCAATGGCTGATGCCAATATGGAAAACAAGGGAAAATCGTCTCCGCTCCTGCAGCGCTGAAGACATCAGCACTTTTACCAGCAAAACTGTTTGGTGCAATTCGCATTTTCTTTTCCTCTCTCTTTGCTGTATACTAGCAGTGACTCTGGCTGGCTGACTTTTTCCAACACAAGCAGTTGCACATGTGAAAATAATCTTCCTCCATTACCTCTCTACTCCTGGGATGACTTGGAAGACAATCTTTCACTGGGAAACTTTCCCTTTCTGACCTCACAGACTTGATGCAGAATGAGTTACGTTTCTTATTTTGGATGGCTCAATGATGAGCAAAATACAAAGGTCTTTTGGGTTCTAAGTGCATTTGGCAGGCAAGACTCTGAAAAGATGCAGTGATTAAGAACCTACAGTGATGAACCTAACAGATCAGAGCATACTTGCTCTCCCAAGTAGGGTAGATGTGCTGAAGCCAGCATTGAAACCAAGCAGCAGTGGAGTGCTCTTCCATTTTGTTTGCTCAGTAGTTAAAGGTCGGAAGTGAAGATCATAATACTCTGAGGGTCTAAAATCCCTGTAGCTGGTTTGGGAATCTAGTAGGCTTTTTAGTGAACAACTGAAAATTGGCCAAGTTAGTCTGCATCAATATGCCTTTAACCAGCTTGTGCCCATCAAAAAAATAAACTGAAGTGAAAAGAAGCAAAGGTATTTCTTATGTTTTTCATGATGAGTGTTTTGGAACCAAGCTGTTTATAGGTTTTGCTTTTCAAGCTGTTTTTCTCAAGATAAGTGTTTTAAATTAATTGAGGGTAACTGGTTTGCAAATCCACCAGAGATTAAATTAGGAAGTACAGTGAAAAAAAAAAAAAAAAGTAGAAGTAACAATTCAGTAGTTTTCTTATATGATATCTGCTTCTTAAAGAAAGACACATGGGAAACCTCTTTCAAGGCACTGTAGCCTAATTACCAATTCAAGTAGCTACATGCAGTTTTTTATTTTGTGTTGCTAGCATTCTGAAAGGCAGGCTTGTAGTTTTTTTTTATTAGAGTAGTTAGGTGAGTTGAACCCAGACACAGCGAATAGGTAACTTTAAGCAGTCCCTATTTTTTTTCTGTTGCACTGCTGCTAAAAAAGAAAAAGAGATTGAGCTTAATATCTTTTGCTTTCTTGAAAAGTCACATGTTGTGGAGCCAAACTTGAACATCAAGCCATATGTCCGTTATTAGCCCTGTTGACTTCCTGTACAAGTTTTAACTTCTTTCTTCATAGTGGAGTCTCTGACTGTTGAAATCCATGGATGAAAAATGAGTTTGTGCACAGAGTGAGTTTGTTGCTCAGAAAGTGGGAACCACTTTCAATATGTAAAAGGTCTTGATCTCATGTTAATACTTCTAGCTTAAAACTGAATGTCTCAAAGTGCTGTTCAAACAGAACACACATCTCTTAAAACCTAACAGATTTTGTCTGATTTCCCCTTTGGTTATGAAAGGCTGGATGTAGTTAGATTTTCCTTGTGTTATTAATCACCTTTGCCTTCTCAACGAAGTGTTTTAGAATGTAATATGTTGTTCACCCTTTTGTGTAACTCTTCCAGCTATGTGATGGATTTTTGCTTTTCTGTTTCATTTGCCAGTAAACTTAAAGTTGTTAAGTTAAAAATACTGTGATCTGCAGATCATTGAAGGAAAACTGTATTTATCTAAGGGGTTTTGTTACTTTTTTAAAATCAATTCAGTGACAATCTTTGTCATTAAAGCTCATTTCAAGGAATTTTATTTTTACAAAATTTTAAGTTTTCAAGGTTAATTTGACTGGGGCAGTGTTCTTCTGTTTGTTTTGGGGTTTTCTGTTTGTCGGGTTTTTTTTTTGTTTTCCACAGGATGCTTGCCTTCTCTGTTTATACCTCTTGCTTTCTATTTTACTCTTAAGCTACTCTTGTTTGTCTCTTTTTTTTTTTTTTTTTGGCTTGAACTTTTCTTGTGTTGTAAAACATCAGAGGTCTCCACATCCTCAGTATGTTTTGTTTGAACTTTAAACACTTCTTAGAATGAGAGACTTCAATACGTGTTTACCTATATCAAGTCATGTACTCAAGCAGGAAAATACGGGCTGTGTCTTAGTCTTTTTCCAGCACTTTTCCAAGACAGTGTCCTGCTTTATAACCACACTGCCTAAAATACTTGCTCTAAAACATGTAATAGCATACTTTGTGTATAGGTTCTTGTCTTAATTGGAAGCTTTTTAACTAACTTAACTGCCAGATTAGACTGATGTGGTAGAATCCATTTCTAGTTAATATTCTGTGGTTAAATTGAAATGACTGCTTTAATTTATTTTGAGACTGAGTGAAATAGATTAATTTGAATACTCCAGGTAAGGACAGCTGGTCTCCCTCAAAGTCATTTAGAAATGTAAGCCAGAAAGAAAGTTTAGATCGTCAGCTATTTTGCTTTACATTATTTCCACTGTATTTCCCAAGTATGAAAATGAGATGGTTTGCAATGTCTTAGCAGGCGTACATGTCACCCATATCATAAAACAGTGGGACTTAGTTTAGGAGAATAGTAAAACATACTCAGCACTTCAATAATGCTTTTCATCCATAGGTCTGGAAACATGTCAAAAAGATTACTGTGGTCATCCCAGCCGTGAAAAAAAGAGGCAGAGACACAAAGGACTTGCACATATGGATATCCCCAGTTCATACCAAGTCCAGGAGTATAATCTGGGGATCTTTAGTCATATATTCTGTGCTGTCTTTGCTACAAGTGGTCAAGATTCTGACCTGTACATAGAAACTCGATCATATTAAATGTGTTTCTGTTTGGAGATGTTAACCCTTCTTAAACCACCTGCTACTATGAATTTGTGTGCAGTGGGATCATACAGCAACAGAAATTCTAGAACATTTTTGTAGAGATGTGAACACCATACCCTCTGACTGTATGTAATGAAGGTGCATGTGTATAGGAGTTTGAATTCAAAGTTTGTAATCCTGGCTAAATCTTAGGTACCATGATTCCTTGTATAGGGCTGTGCTAGTCCTGAGCTATGGAAAAATGGTATGGAAGAAAGTATAAAAAGAATGAAGAGGTGAATCAGTGCCCTGTGTGATAATGAAAATCAGTTTTTTGCCCCAAACCACAAATTATCTTGGCTGCAAAATGAGGCTTAGGGCAAAAAAAAACAGTTTCCTAAGCTACTCTTTACCCCACTGCAATCACAGTATCTTGCAATCAAATGCCTTATCAAGTCTTTTAGGAAGGACTTTGTTTCCGTAAGTTTGCGGGAACGGATAGTTTTTACTTAAGCTTACATTAGTCTTTCAGTCTTTGTGGTTTGATGAAGTAATCAAAGTGAAATCCAGTTCTGATCTGAAAGACCAGTGGAGGAAACGTTGCAGCTAGATTTGCACATGGTACTTCGTTTATGTGACTTTGCTTGGCATAATTAAAGCGTTGGAGACAGTTTAATGCTGCTTGGAAGGTTACTTTTTTTGGTGATCAAAGGGCAAACAGGCAAGTACAGTAATGATGCAGTTACTACCCCCTGTGGGGGCCACAACAGTTTGGAAACACTTAGTGGATTTCACTGGCAATTTTTGTTGTTGTTGTATTCATAAATACATAATTATGTTTTGAAAAGATGAGTTGATGTGCAAATACTTTCATGGCATTGCTATGAACAGGAGGGACCCTAGTGTATTTTTAGAGTGCAATAAGTATTTGCTGAATGAGTAACATATTGATAAGTTTATCTTCCAGCTCAATAGAATTTTACAATCAAATTAATTTTTACATCAGTTGATAGGAATGTATTATTGGAATAATATTTAGCTGTGTTTGAATTTACAGTTATGATTTTAACTGTACCCGTTAAAGGAGCTTCTGTTTTTATAAATAAATATACTGCAAAGAACTGTTTCAGGTGTGTTTACTTTTGATTTTGGTAATTTCTAGAAAATAGGCTTTTAAGAAAATACTCATTTTTCTGATTGTACATAGGTGGTGAGCTTGTGGGTACCATGAAAATGGTTATGTAGTGGACATTTATCCTGTTTTGGGGGCGCATTTTTGTGGGTGGTTAGGTTTGTTTGGTTGGGTTTGGTTTTTGGTTTGTTTGCTTGTTTGTTTGTTTTTTTTTAAAAATCTCACTCCATCTTGCCCACTTCAGGACATGTTGTTTCCTAATAGCATCTCATGAAAAAGAACAAGTACTTTTTGAATATGAAGCATTATATTTAGATGGGTAAGTTGTTGGGGTTTGGCATGCAAGATTTAAAGGTTCAGTCTGTGCTGATTTTTTTTAGCCAGTGTAAATAAGTGCCCTGCGAGCACTTTGGCCACACTATTCTAAAATTTGTATTCTGGAAGAAGTACAAAGAAACAATTCACAGGTTTATTTCACAGGCATGTCTCATAGACAGGCGAAGTTCTTAAATTGCAGAAAAACAATCTGCTCATCTTTTTCTACTTTAAGGGACTTCAGAGAGAAGTGTGATAGACTGTGCTTAAAGAAGCTTGCAGGAGAAAGTCAAAATCATACAGGAGGTACAAAGTACAAAACAGAAGATATGTTAAAATTGTAAAGGAATCATTTTAAATAAGCGTGTAACTGCAGCTGCTTCTGGCAAGGTAAGTGGTGCGGTTCCTTGAAATACAGGCATCTTGAAGGTAACATTGGATATATTTTTGCAGATTTATTAATTTTTAAAAGGTTGATTTGGTCACTGTAAAGATGCCTATAAAGGTGAGCCAAATTATCTAGGTATTTTTGTTGCACAAATTATGAGGAGAAGTGAATATAGGCATGTTGGCCATTATTGGCAAACGAGAAAAAGTGAGTTAAGGATGTGAAATACTGTGCAAGTTAATTGAGTCCTTTAGTATCTATTGGTGCCCGTAAAGGAAAAGATAGACATGTACTCTATGTCTAGGTCAGGATGATCGTCCTTAAGGGTATCCACAAGGATTAGTTAAGGGACTTGATATCAAGAGTCAATCATCCTTGAAGGAGAAAGATCCTGGAAAACATGTAAACCATGTGTATTTAGAGATAATTTAGTTCTGAGTAATTTGAAGTAGTCAGCTAAATGATGGTGTTATCTCTGAGTGAACCAGCCTCATTACAATACTAAAAATAACATTCACAGGGCAAGAGACACCAGCCTAGACACCTCTATGAGCCTCACTCATAGAGCATGCATACAAATAAGTGTTGTGTAATCATATGCAAATTACTAACCAGTCACTATCAGTGGGAAGTTCTTGAAAATTTACAAATTGATAATTTTGTGTATAAAAGAAGCTCTGAAAAGTGCCCAGGTGTGCTGGCTTTGTGGGAAAACCCTCTAGCACCCAAACCTGAGCAACTTTTTAATAACTGATCTCAGTGTGTGGGATTGGCTCTGTGCACACTGGGGACCAGACCCTGCTCTGGGCTAACAGACTTGTGAAATGAAAAAGTTCGAGGTAGTGTTAGGTTTTTATTCAGCGATCTAGGCAATGTCAGTCCAGCTATGTTACCAGTTTGTTAATAGCAGTCATCTGCCTGTCAACTCTGAGCAAGAACTTCAGCTAAAAGTCTCTAGCTTTCACCTCTGTGTGGATGTCAAAGGTACATTCGCCCTTCTCTTCAATGATGTACTGCTGTATATTTGGCAGATGGTGAGAGAAAAATGTTGGACCTCTGGTGACTACTGACACTAATCTCAAAAATGAGGAGAGACCACAGCTTTTTTGTAGTAGGCTTGCTCCACAGTTGCCTTGACTGACAGCATATATATTATACACTACTCCTGTGCAGCTCAAACAGGTGTCTGCTTGTGTGGCTCTTGTTTGATGCTCCAGTCTGATTACAGGCAGGCTTAGGCTGGTATAGACAGGACTCCTGCAGCTCACTTCTCCAGCTGCAAGTTGCCCCTTTCTGCCTGCTCTGAGAGCTTCATCCTGTCTGGCTGAAAGATGGTCAGCCTGGCCTCTGGCACTGTTCCTACCATCTCTTCAGTTAGCTGTGACAGCTCCAGCCTTCCTGTCTCTGGCCTGCAGAAGAAGAAAGGAAAAGCTCAGAGCTGAAAGCTGGTGGAAACCATAAGTTATAGCAGGATGGGGGAGAAGCAGAGATAGCCCTTCTGTGTTGTGAATTGATTGGGCTCTCAACTTCTGGGTCCTGGAGCTGAGTTATCTGCATGCAGTCAGGTGTATAACAGTGTCTTGAATGATCATCTGTTTGAGAACTACTGGTCAGGTCTGAAGATGCAACCTGAATGCCTTCCTGCCACAGGCAAGGACTGTGAATGACTGGAATTTTCAGGTGCTGATGAAATTCTGCTAGATGAGAATTAGCTGAATTTTCCCTCCCAGCCCATGCTGCTGGCTCTGGCCTAAGTTGAACACAGTATGTTGTTCGAGTGTTGCGCCTTTAGATGCCACAACTGCTAGCAAGTAGTTTTCGCAGTATTGAAAGCTTAAACAGCTTGTGGGTTTATAGCCTGGTTACCTCATCTTGACTCCATCCTCACCATGTGACAGCTTTTTTCATTCCTTTGTTCTCATGTAGCTGGCTAGTGAACTTTTTAATATTTGTAATGTTTTTTTCGATTATTATTCATTATGGCTTTATGTATTTTACTTTCTGTTTGTAATTTTTGAAGTGGGATTGATCAGATTTATTTTTTCTCCCCCTTCTTTGTAGAATCTATGCCTTTCCCTGTCTATGAAATAAATGTATCTTAAGCGGTTATGCATTTAGTCAATTTTGAAACCTTTTACAAGTTTCTATTGACTGATGAGGTAGCAGGACACGAATAATTTTCAGACAGGCAGACTTGCTCCATTGTGTAAGAGAAGGGTGAATGTTCAGCAGATTTCAAATAGCTACACAGTGCATCCAGATGATCTGCATTTTTAAGAACATTTTTCTTTTATAGCTGGCTTCATCTGTCTCAGCAGTTATGTGAACAAGCTGTATCAAGCCTGTAGGCCTTGTTTAAATAGCACAGTCAGAGATTTATGATGTATATTATTGAGATCAATGTAGCATGTGTATCACTGTTAGGTGAAGCTTCAAGCTTTCTGTGAGCTTTGATTAGCAGAAGATTTATGCACAGTATGTATTGAACAAGGGCAAGCTTTGCAGCTCAGACTGTGCTTATTGTCAAGATTGGCATACCCCAGAGATAATTCTTGGCTCTTTAGCTCTATTCATTGCAGATACTATTGGGAATTACCTGAGATTGATAAAATACACTGGCACTCTTCATACAAATAGAACCCTTTTGCAGCTGCTCATTTGTCTACTCCACATTTGCTTTATGTGCTAAGATTAAACAACATTATAAAAACTGTGTGGAGGCTCAGGGGAGCAACGCTCACTCCCCTTGAGTGCCCAAGCAGGAGGTGGCTTGCCCCAGTAACATGTGTGATTTAAGTCCATGTATCACCTTCCAGCATCTGAGCATGCGGCCATGTAAATGAAGGTGACAGTCACAGAATCTGTCTGCCTCCACTCTCTGCACTCTGAGTGTAAAGACTTAACATTGACAACCATAATGTTTACATTCCATCTTATGCTTGATGATAGATATAATTTTTAAAGCCTTTGCTATGCACAGGCAACCCCGTTGTGATGTGGTGCTGTAGACTAGGAGGGTGCTACAAAGAAATAAATTTGTGGCCCTTTCTTTACAGGTGACCAAGAAAACCAGTTATTTCTCTCTCCAGCAGCAGTGGGAGCTGTTGCTTGATCCTGACAGATACGTCCTGGGTTTGTGGTGCCTTGGGGGTGGTAGTGGGGGACTGGGCACTGTTAAACTGCCATCCGTCACTGGCTCAGTATCATCAGGGAATGCAGCAATGACCTTTTGTTCCTGCCATCCCAATCTACGTCAAATGACAAAGGGTAGAGTCCTCTTGCCTCTGGATTTAGACATGGTTGAGGCATCGCTCTTCTGGGAGGTTTCATGGGACCCAATGGGAATCTTGCTTCCCTTCCCCAAGTTCTCCTCATGTTGCACATTTATCACTTTGTCTCATTACTTCCTTCCTGTTGTGCTGAATTCTAACAAAATAACTACACTGCTCACAGCGTAATTGCAAAACATCAAGAATTTATTAATTTTCCAGTAGCATAGAACCTAAAGTTCGGACCTGTTCTCATATTTCTTCATTCTAATTTTAAATTAAGCAAATGTATATACATGTTTTCAGACATATGTATGAATTACACAACCAAAATCAGGGCAAGTTTCTTCACCTGCTCACACACAATATTTCCAGAAGCACTCGGAAAGATTCCCACGTTTCTTGTATTGTTTTCTGCCCTTGGTCAAGAAGCGGCCCAGCAAAGCAATTCGAGGATGATTTCCATAGAAAGCCTGAAGTCAGACAGCATTAGAGATGTTACTGTGGAATGATAATTGTTCCCAGTGGGAAAGTGTGCTCTTTACTGTCCCAGTTGATCACCCAGTCCTGTGTTCTGACTTGGGGGAAAAAGGGGCAAGTGCCCAGTGTGCCCTCTGATAGAGGTGATGCACTGAAACTAGTCCCTGTCCTCTGCCTTTATATTTAATTCAACAGACAAGTGAACAGGAATGATGATCTCCATTTACCTCATAGTTCATAACAAATCTGATAATACTGTGTAGCCTACGTTGTAGTGGGGAAAAAAAAAAAACTACATGCAACTAGTACTGGTTAATGTACTGGCCTACCCTGGTGAAGGTGGAAACTGTCATTTAGTTAGAAACCTGTTTTTCTGAAGGAAAAAAAAAAAAAAAAGTGGGGGATTTAGAATGCAATGCTTTGGATTACTTGCCTTCTTTTTTCTTTTTTTTTTTTTCTTTTTTTTCTCTTTTCCTTTTTTCCTCTTTTCCCTTCTTTCCCCCTCTCTCTTTTCTCCCATGCTTAACTGCTAAGTGTTTCCAACTTCCAGAACACTGTGGCATACTTTCGTCTATACAGTTAATGAAGTTTGTGGATCTTAAATGATGTCTCAGTAACAATACTGTGTATTTTAAAATGTGGAGTCTTTTTTTTTTTTTTTTTTTTCCCCCCTTGACAGATGGTCATTTAATCTTTTACTTACCTCTTTGATATTTTCCCTTGGGCTGTAGCTGCTGGGGCTAAGACCTGGTAGAAGGGAGACGTAATTAAATATTTTACCATTTAGAAATTGTGAACCCTATACAAGTCATTCTTGTGTGCTATAATGCTGGCAGAAGTATTGAACCAGAATGTTCAGAGGACTAGACAGAAAATCCTTTTGCTACAGCACAGGCAATTCTTGTGGCTCACAGTTCCAGCAGGATATGGGACTCTGCAGATGCAAGCTGTACTGTCCTCTTCAGCAGTCAGCTGTTACATCTGTTGCTCTCCAAGCCATCTATTTTTATTGATTCTGCACTTTCTGCGAGTATTGATGTTTTTTAAGAGACTGTGCTAAGTTGTTTTGTCTTCTAGTTCCTTCTAGGCCAGTCTTTGTCTTGCCCAGTTTTGCTATATGGAGGTTTTGCTAAACTAACTTGGAGACTTTTCCAGCTAGTATTAAGCTGCAAGCATGGCTGCTCAGCAGGTTTTCCCCAGGACCCAGTTAACTAAATGATAGTTATCTGTTGCCTCTACATAATGTTGTATTTCAGTAAATACCCAGAAGTCTGGGCACAGTATCTGTGGAAGTTTGACATCCAAACCTTGGGCATTCACTGTAAATTGCTGTAGTAAATCCTCACCTGCTTTGTTATCTTCAGTCAGTGTGCCCACGAGCTCTGGCAGAAGCTGAAACAGGGAAGCGCTTCCTAGGCTGCCCAGCTGCTCCAGATTTAATCTCAAATCTTCATCAGCTGCAAATGGAAGATGACAGAAACAGGCATATGGTAAGAGACTTTTGCTTTGAATCCCTGTTTTCATCAATTTCAGATGAATTCTGATCAGGTCTGTTGGCCCCACCTGTTGAAGATGACCATGAAAGTAATCATCCATCCTTATTTAACGAATCAGAATAGAGGATAGCTGATTTGATGATTTTTTTTTTTTTTCCTTCCATTGCTTTTAGAAAAGATAACTTTCTGACGTTAATCTCAGATTCTCATTTCTCTGACAAGTCTTTCTTTAAGAAAGTTTTTTGAGCAATAGGAGCCCCTCCCAATTGCTTGAGGAACTCACAACCTAATCCTTTGGGTGCTCAGCTGTAAGCAACCCAGACTTCTATATAATTGATTTATTTTAGTTCTTTTTTTTATCAACTAGTTCCTGTGCTGGAGCTTTTCTGTGAATAAAGACAAAACTTCCTGTTCCAGGCCTATTAACTTCCTTGGTTTTCCAACTATTAAATGCTATAAAACGCAGAGAAGAGCAGGAATAAATGTAGGAAATCTTAAAACATATTTTGGCAGTTATGCTTCTCGGTACATTGCAATCATCTCTTTCATTTAATGTGCGTACTAGTACAGATATTCTTACTTTTTCTGAAACAACAGATTGCTGATACCTGATGGAATTACTTTGTACATGGAGAATTTAGAATTCTCTAACTAGCCTTTGCCCCTAGGCAGGCTGCCAACAGGAGTCCTTAGCAGTGTTATACTTGAGATAAACAAAGCTTTTGTAGTCTGAGCAGTAAATTTCTTCATTGCTAACATATAGCAGACATTCAAAATTGTGGGCAACGAGAGGGTGCAATTATCAAACTCTAGTTAGGTACATTAATTTTGTTTGTAGTTGCACTTTTAGATAATACAATGGAGTTACCGTTGCTCTTACCTGCAAGGATGGATAAGACTGTATAGCTCCTATAGGAATATGGGGAATATGTAAGAAAATAAAGGCTGAAAATAATCCCCCAATATTTAAAAAACTTGGACCAAGATCAAGAACCTGAAAACCTTGGACATCCATGTTGTTAGATTCTTTGCTGTATAAAAAGATAATTGCAAAAGACAGTGGAGAGTTCAGTGTAAGACTGAATAATACTGTAACTTCTCTGTGCTATGTGGAGACAATTCATATCTCTAGCCTTGTATTATTTTTAATTCAGAGCAGTGTTAGCAGGTAAATTTGCTTTTTGATTTAAAAACAACAACCCTCTTTTATACAGAATTTTATCTTACCCATCCTAGAGAATCTTTACATTAGCAAGGGAGATTTAATAAGCCTAATGGATGTCTTCAAACAAATGCAATAATTGTTAGAGCCAGCCTGTTCACCTTGTGATGAGATAGATGTTACCCACACTGAGTCATGGTTGCCTGTAAATGCACGTTACATAGTGGAAGGCTTGAGAAAATGTTAGCTTGTAGAGTCCAGGATTTTCAAAGCAAATTGGGGACTACTGGTACCTGTAAACCAGCACAACAGCTGCAAAGCAGGTAAGAACAGCCATTTATTAATAGTCAGTTTTATGACATAACTTTGGTTTTGATTTGCCTGTTCTTTCAGAACTCCTTTCAGAAACTCTTCCAGTATAAGTCAGGTATGATGATAGTAGCTTTCCAGACTCTGTTGTGCATTTTCACTAAGCCATTTCAGTCTTAACTTTCAGTATAATTTCAAACTATGAGGACAGCTTTTTCAAACAAAGATTTGTTCTTTCAGTGAACTGGATGGAATCTGTGTTAGTGCAAACAAATAGCATGCTCAATACATTGCTGGTTTTGTAGCATAAGACAGAGAGACTTGCTCATTCTTGGTAAGTATGACTACATTAATCTTTGCAGTAGGTTTTTCTCCTTTTAAAATACAACTTCAGTTAAACATGGTTAATTTTGTAGTGTAGCAAGAGGAGAGACCGTACAGCCAAGAATCTTTAAATAACTCAGTGCCTATTAATGCAGCTTCAAATACAGACAGTGTATGTGCCCACTTGCATTCAGTGCTCGAAGGCTCATATTCTTTTGTCTCCTGGATCTCAAAACAGCAGAAGAAATATTTAGGGCACTCAATCTCCCTGTTTTACAAGACTAGCACCCTCTGATGATGTCACATGTATTGCCAGTGCTCTCAAAACATTCCTACTGTTTTTACAGGTGATCAGCACAGATAAAAGGCCCCTTGGAAAACATACCTGTTTCTTTTCTGGTATTACTGCTCCAGCCCCACCTTTATGACCGTTAAAATCAAAAGGCTCTTACCTGAGAGTTGATAAGGCATCTCACTGTCATTGATGATGGGGAGAGATGAGAGAGGACAGGAGAAGCTGATAATGAAACAGCAGAATACAAGCTTATGCATCATTGCTGTGTTGAATATATTTTGTCTTTGTCTACCCCTCTAACTCAGAACTCCTGACTGTTGCCTCTGCTCCTAGTTTCACCCATTATATAGCTGCTCATGACCTCATAAATATCATCATGTTCTCTCCCCCCTTCAAAAAAAAAAAAAAACAATGAATTTATTGCCCATTGATTCTAAATGGAAACCACTTTGCATTGATGTAATTTTTCAAGGTAACAGTTCATAGACAATAAATTTACTGTCTTATAGCTTGGTGTACAAAATGGATATTATATCAAACCAAGCACAGTAAAGTTTATAAATCTGGCATTAAAAAAAAAAAAGTAACTTCCAGTTATAAATCATGAGTTAACAAAAGGGTCAGACATTGGTTGAAATGACCAGGGCAATGAGACAGCTGATTTATTAGCCTTAGCAGGCTTGACGCAAAGCATCCAATGTGAAATGCACTTTTTTTTTTTTTCCTTTCGTGAGATGGATGGATGTGTTGTGTTGTACTGGGGGTTCTTGTGCCAGAAAAAGGTAAAAGAGAAAGTGAGTTAAAATATCTAGTTAATTTACAAAGAGAATGTTACAGGCGTTCAATTATTTATTTTTTTTCCTTGTAGCATTTCACATCTATTTATCTGAGAAGACCTCATCCAGTGTTGCCCTAGAGAATCATCTTGGCAGAGGAAGTACAGCTTCAATCTGGAGACCTGCTTGGTATGTATAAGCTACTTTGGTTGATATTAAACACAGGTCCCTCACTAAACTCGAAGAACCTTTTCCATTTCACTTATTTATTTCTCTTGAGGTTTGTAACAAATTGAGTTTGGTATTTTTCTTCCCTGCCTCTCCAAATAAATATTTGTGCCTTCCAATGCCCTTCAAAATACTATGAAATATAACTGAAGCTCTGTCCCTATGCTGAATTGCATGATAATTTTAAGATGTAAAAGGAGTGGATTTACCTGATTCCTTTTTCCTTTGTTAATGTTACCTGCTGAAGATTAATTTTTAAATCACTAATTCTGTGACTCCTAGGACTAATTTCAAATGAGCTACATTGGTCATATAGAACAGATAGATTTCTGCTGCAGGTCTAATTCAAAGACAGCATGCCCCACGCATGCATGGTTAACAGGTCGTCCAGAAAAGCCAACGACTTTGTGAATCACAGGATGGTTGAGCTTGGAAGGTACCTCTGGAAATCATCTAGTCTAACCCACCTGACTCAAAGCAGGGTCAGCCAGAGCAGTGTGTCCAGTCAGGTTTGAACAGCTTCAAGGGTGGAACTGGACAGAATTTTAAAACTAAGACTGAGAAGGCCCTGAGCTTACTTATGTAAGTCCAGATGCTCTGCTTTGAGTGCAGCGTGGAATAAATAGGTGAGAGAGGACCACAGACGTCCTTCCCACCAAAACTTTTCTATTATTCTGTGTGTACAGAGAGGTCTGCTATTGACTTAGAGAACACATGCTGTGTCTGATCCACAAATCCTATTTCTCTGGCCTTTGCTGAAGGGAGTGAATATGACAAAAGAATTTCTCTACAGAATTGACCTAATGCATTTTATATGCCTCCTTCCCTATGCTTCTCTAGAAGAGAAATAAGTAGGCAGAGAGGAATTCTCTCTCCTTATCTGAGTCATGCAACTTTTCATTCCAAAACTACAGACAGTAATTAGATCTGATTTGGTGCATGATCTCACTGTTGGTGCTGGATGCTCTGTACAAATGCTTCTCCTTCAGTGAACTATCAATGACAATGACATTATCAATATTCGCTCTGAGAATTCTCCAAAGAAAGCTAATGAAGCACTCTTCACAAGCAACTTATGTCCTTTGTCTTCTCTCAAGGAAGACTCAGCCTCTTAAAGCCACCATGAAATGCGTCATGTGGAAGTTGGGCAACTTGCCCACAGCGTATTGCCTTTACTCAGATTTGAAATTGTCACTTAGACACTCTTTCCTCTACCAAAATGTCAAAGACATTTTCCTCGGGGGACAGTGTACACGTCATCATGTAAAGCAAAGAAACAGCTTATCCTAAACAAAGGTGCATGTCCCTGAATACATGGATAAGGAAAGTAAATGTGAATTGCACTTCAAAAACTTGGAAATTTAGTTTGACACAAACCTTTAATTTTTATCAAAACTGTTATTTTGTGGGAAAACTAGTTAAAGTTTGTATTTATGTGAGTATGCTTGCTTTCAGGTCCTCCAGTTTAAAATAACAGGGCAAGAATAGTCCAGATAAATTTCTGAGCAAACTCTGAATAGTAAGTACATGTTACCCTATCAAAAAGAGTAATTATCAGAAGAAACAACTATTCTTGGTTTAAAATGATGGCTCATAAAGAATAAGTTGCTAATGATGTCAAGAAAACTTAAAAAAAAACAAAAACAAAACAAAACAAAAAAAAACCACAAAACCCCCAAAATTATCCACCTTCTGAGTAAAATAGTAAAGATTAAATCCAATCTATAATGCAGGACTTGTTTTCCCTGTTTTGAAGTACTTTATGATAAATAAGCACAACTTATTATTTTCCTCAAGTAGTGTAACAGTTGGCAAAAACAGGCCTTTGAGAGAAGATGGGATTTAGCAATAGCGTTTGTATGAGGTACTTTTTTCCCTAGGATAAACTCCTGGTGAAGCTTTCTGGCTTGAATTTAATTCGGATAAAGAGATGCCTGCAGTAGAATGTTTGTATTGACATTAATTGCAGGTGAGCTTATAATTATAAAAATTTCTAGGTCGTCTTTGATGCTTACTAGAATTTTTACCTTAATATCTTGTTTCAATGAGCTATACATGTTGGCTAGTGTGAGAGAAAAAATATTTGTAGTGTTACTCACTGCTCTGCTAGGGTCTAGTATATCATTTAGGGATTTGGGGCGTTTTTGCTTTGCTGTCACTCCTGGTGTTGCAGATATCTGTCCTCATTAACACCCAAGAAGTTAACTTTAACTTAAAATAATATCTTTGAAGTTAAAATATTCAGCTTTGTAACATGATTATTAGATCTATTTTAGCATACTAAAATAAATAACATGAATAAATTTTAAAATAATTTAAATTTAAATATAT